TCAAAAAAAGATTGTTAAAATTTGTTGCCTATCTTCATGGAAGTTCTTTTAAAAAAAAAAAGATTTTTAAAGTTTGTTACCTATCTTCATAGGCAACTTTTCCAAAATGAGATTTTTTGTAAAAGAAAAAAACTTCCAACGTAAAAATAAATAAATAGCACCTAATCAATACCCCCTTAGTCTTTGGTGCTAGACAAAATTAGTGTCTTTGGTCTTTGCATTATTTTTTATCCTAAAAAATATGCAAAGAGAGGCAGCTCTAGACACAATTTTATTTGAGCAAAATTTGACCATTTATGAAACTCTTAAAATCCAACCCAGTTAAAATCCAATATTTCTTTAATTTTGACAAGCTTTTAAGATTAAAAGTGGGACCAATTTTACCTAAATATCTTAAAGTCAAACTTACTCAAATAAAGTCAAACTTGGTCAAAATTGATAAAAAAAAATAGTCCAAACGATTGGAACTCGGGTCAACCTTCAAAAATCACAATCAAATTGGAACCAATGTTGTTTTAAATTGAATTTGTGAATTTTTTTAAAGTATTGAAAAGTTTGATTGCACTTCAAAAAGTGTAAAATTACTAAAATACCCTTAGAGATATTTTTGTACTTTAACTTTCTTGAAATCGAATTTTTGTAAAAACTTACAGGTCATCATTCTATAATATTTGATGATTTTTTATGCATTAAAACCTACATCACACCTTCGGTACTATGAAATTACTAAAATACCCTTAAGGTATTTTCATAAATTGACATTTCCGAGGTTGAAATTTAGCAAAAAACTCTAGATCAATATTTAATATTATTTGATAATTTTTTGAATATTGAAAAACTTGATCGTACCTTAAAAGTGTAAAATCACTAAAATAGCTTTAGGATATTTTTGTAATTTGATCTTCTTAATGTTGATTTTTTGTGAAATGTTTCAAACCATGTTTTTAAATTATGTGATGATTTTTGGTGCATTAAAAATCTAGATAGTACTTCAAGAGGTATGAAATTATCAAAATATCCCTTAAAGGTAATTTTGTAATTTGATCTTCCTAAGATCATATTTTCATGAAAACTTTCATATCATAATTTCATATTATTTTAAGATTTTTTATGCTTTAAAATCACAAAAATGAAGAATGGAACATTGTTTTCAAAGAAAATGACCTAGAAACTGAAAACTTTTTAATTGGGGTAAAATGGTCTATTTACTTGGTTTCAGCAGCATTAAAAATCCAATCTTTCGTAGTAAGCATTCTCAACCATAGGATGATATTAAGGGGTTGGATCCAAGGGTGAAAGGTGGCACCTCGTAAAAAAAACAAGAGAGAATTTTTAACTATTAGATGAACTTTTAATCTAAAGGCTTGCATACATTTAAAGGGAAATGTTTTATCTTTTCATGGGAGTTGGAATACAGTTTTGAAAAGAAAGAAATTGGCTAGGATACGAGGAAATGAGGAAAAAAAAAAGGAAAAAAAATATCTTAGTGAAAAGCTTGGAGTAGGTATAATTTTTCTACCTTTTTTCTTTGCATTTTCATAAACATCTATAACATTTATCATATTTGTCATACCATTTAGGTTTTGATTTTCTTTTTTTTTTTTTTGAGAAATTTATAGTTCTTCATTTGATTTCAAGTTTAAATTAAAACTTCATTCAACTAAAGTATAGTTGGATCGAATCAAAGTTCAAGTAACATAAAAACAAGACTCCATCATTTGAAGTCATTGAAAGTTCGGCCAAACCTCATTCCATCATGACCAAACCTCATTTTGGTTCTCCTTAAATGTTTTCCTTGCTTCTCATGTTGTTTATGGATGAAATAGTTATTTGCATGAATTTGGTGTTTTGCTATGTATGTTTTGTTCAATGGTTTCTTTACTATTCAGTTAATTACATGCTTGATAAAATTTCTCTCATGGTATAAAGGTCTTCATGTGATGATTTTATAAATGATTGATGCATGTTTGGATCAAATGAATGGTGGTGAAATTGTGAGGAGGCCATGATGAGGTTCGGCCAAGCTATTCCCATGCTTGGTTGAAACCTCCTAGCTTGATGGGAGGCCAAATGTTAGTTCGTTCATATGTATTTGCTTATGTTCTTGCATTGTTCTTCAAGATTTCAGTGTATTTGATTAAATTTTTCAAGAATAAAATGTTAGTTTAGTAGGTTGTTTGGTTATTTTATTGTTTATTTGCATGAAGTTTAAAAGAATAAAATGGTGGAACATGTCTTAGAAATCCAAGAAAAAAAAATTAATATTTGATCCATTTACATCACATTTTTACATACACATTTAGTTTGTAATATAGTTTTTAAAATATCTAGATTTGGAATTAGTTTATTCCCTAGTCATGCATTTTTCATGCATCAATATTTACATTTTTATTGATAGCATTTCTGTTAATTGTTTTCATCAAATGCATTTCTCATGAAACCCTCAACCCCATGAAACCCCAAATCACCCATGAAACCCTAAGCCACCCTCAAAACTTTAAACCCTAAACCTTAAATCTTAAACCTTAAAACTTAAACCCTAAACCTTAAACTCAAAACCCTAGCCCTAAACTCTAACCTAGACCCAAAACCAACCCAAACCCTAAAACCAACCCTTAACCCTCATTCATTCATTTGTATTTCATTTTACTTTGTTACATGTATCCATAAATTATCTTGCATTCATACCATGTCATTCATATCATGCATTCATTATACATTATGTTCATGCATATTATACATTTGTTTTCAAAAATGAGTTTTCAAAGTAAAATGTTTTTAGATAAGATAATATCTCAAGTAAATATAATCATCAAAATTTGGCCTAAATATACAGAGACTCTTAGTGATTATTATTTATGCAAGGTATTATTTCAAATTTGAGGGATAATTTGAAAACCCTAAAGTTAAGAATATTTTTTAAGCTCTACCTAAATATAAGATAGTGAAAAAGATGTCTCGATACTTACATTGTTTTCATTTTGATCCAAAAATAAAATGTTTTGTTTTCAAATTTTTATTTGTTTTAAGAAAAATCAAGTTCTTTTTTATGAATTAAAAAAAAAGAGTTAATTTCTAAACACCAAAATAGGACAATTTTTAACCAAAGTTTAAAGATAACATGGAGTTAATTGGTACTATCTTTAACAGGCGTTGTGGGAGTGCTAGTCCTTTCTCATGCATAACCAACTCCCAAACCCTAAATATAATTTCGTAGAGCTAAATTTTTTTTATAAGACTGTTAAAACATATTAAATGTTTTATTAAAAGGATGAAATATTGTGTCATGCCACATAGCATTTATCATTAAGTTAGATAGTCCAGCATATAAAAAGACTTCATTGACATATGTTTGGGCAATCGAAGACTCAATTAGAACATTTCAAAGTTTAGGAACCAATATAAAATTTGGCCTAAAGTTTAAGGATCATGCATGTTATTAACTCATTTTCTATTTTTCAACAAACGACGAGTCTACTATCAATTAAATCATGATATGATTTGCATTATTTGTTTGATTCAAATGCCTTTTTGTTTTATTTGTTTAGCTTTCATTTAAATCTTGATTGAAAAGTTTTTGATCTATTAGGGTTTCTATTAGGGATTTTAATTAAAGCTCAATTATTGTGTTTCTTCGAAGCTAAATGCAATAATTGTTCATTATCAATTTTTAAAAAATGAGTAATCAAATATTGCTTTTTGAGGCTTTGAAACGAAGTAATCTTCATATTTACTGCATTTCTATTCCGAGAAACATAGTAATTGATTTTGAAATTTTTTTTATATTCCATCGAATACTATGTTTGTACGCATTGAAATATAGTAATTGTGGATTATTTCCTACGTTTCTTGGATGAACTTGACACAATAATTGATTACTAATTTTTTTTTTATAATTGACCACTCAAATACTGCATTTCTAGGATTTGAAACGCATTAATTGTGGATTATTTATTTGAACAAATTGTTGTGTTTGTTATACAGTGAAAGATATTATAGCAAAAATACATGATTAAGTAATCTGACTTTCTTCTTAACCAAACGTAAGAATTTAACAATTCATGCCATGAAAAAGTACCCTTTGTAAAAAATCCACACTTTCTTGAAGATCATTTTCCTTTCCAGAATTTTAAATTTCACGAATCAAATGACCCGTTAAGAAAAGTGTCCACAAAAATTTAGTTTGCTTCTCTTTTCTTTTTCTCCAAATATCGGCTTTCATGAACTATATTGCTCATGGCTTCATGTCTCATGGATCATATGACACATAGACCTGAAACAACAACTACCAATCCTTTCGGATGAAAAAAAAGTGTAATCAACTCATACTTTCAAAGTCTATTTTTCTAGCTCATGTTTGAATTAAGATAAAAACTGCACGATACAAATTTAATTACATTTGTAATCTACTAAAATTCTACAAAATTATTATGTTTGAATTTTAAGCTCAATTATTTATATTAATCTCAATTATTTATATCTCCAGCTTAAGTTCGATCGAATTGAGAGTTTTTTTTCTTATACTTCATCCATATAAAACGATGGTTAATATGATGAAGTTGTTAATAGGTAAATAAAAATCATTTTTATGCAATATTAATATATTATTTAAAATATTAAAATAAAAAATTTTAATAATTTTGTAAACTACTTAAACCGGACACTTGAACACGGATCTAATTAGTTAGAGCTCGACGCAACAATGTTTAAATCGAATTTGAATAATTATTTAGCCAAATAGCTCACTAGTATATATGCTCCTTTACACCCTTAAGATGAATGTCCCAAATCTTTGTTTTGGGATGAAACATTTTGACACTGCTATATTGGGTCTCTATTTTTTATTTGCATGATCACATGTCCGAGCAATTAAAAAGGTAATAAAATGTTTAATACATAAAATAAAAAAAAAAAGGAAAAAAAACCCCCCAATTTTAAGAAGCATTTGCCACTTTCGAAGTCTTTGAGTGCTTCTTGACCTTCGGCTCAACACCTAACCATTTTTTAATAAGTTTAAATACTGTTTGATCACGTAAAAGTCCACGATGAGACGCAGCCACTCCTACTCTCTCAACTGCTGCAAATCCATCCGCCTGTAAGATAGAAACATTTGTTTGGTTGGAGGAGAAAATAATTCTCCTTCACTGTAACATAACACTGGTTCATGAATAATGAAGAAAAACACCTACATATACCCGATGGAACAGTAACAATTATACGATAAGAATCATGACTTTGAACTCTATTGCCCTGAATGTGATTACTAGCTATTGTGGCAACCAAGGACACCATGATCCTTGGTACAAGATTACCTTCCCAAACAACTTCATAGATCACTAATGATAATTTGGCAAGATTAGCATAAATTTCGTATCAGTTCATATAAGGCAAATGAAAGAGAACTTTAAGCAAGAGAATAAGAGGAGAGTGGCAACCATCTCCTATCATTGCCAAAGGGCTCTCTTGAATTCAAGCAAGAAATTATTCCTTCAAATTTTAGAAGGATTCTGAAATTACTTTACGTATAAGACTATGTTTTCTTAGCTTATGCAAAATTTTGAAAAACACATCATACATCCTAGACAACCTAAGAATATTGAGCACTTCCACCTAGTTGTGCTGACACGGTTAACTATAGTATATATTTTGCTGCATTTGTTATCCTGGTTCCCATGTCATGATGTATATGCTAGATTGTTATATTAAAGGTCAGGCGAATGATTTGTAAGATATTCCCTTTTTTGGTAAATTAAGACAAGTATAGCAGCTGTCTAATTGTAAGATACCCTTCATCTTGTCCACTGCCCTTTATAATTGTGCAATGAACCAAGAAATGTTTACAATTTAATAAGCTAATTGGTCTTTTAATTCCTTTCGTCTTCTCATTCTATTAAGTGCCGCATCAATAAAATCGTCTATTTTTCTGCAAGTACATAACAAATCAAATCTTTTGTCTAAGAAGTGATTCCAAGGACCATCACAAATTTTATCTAGTTGACTTCAGGTAAACATAAGAATCTAACGAGTAGTTAAAAGAGTACCATTGCTGATTCTGAAGGAACAGTTCCATCTCCATCCACGTAAGTATATTGAGGCTGGAACAAACAAGTAAAGAAACAGTAGGATAAAAAGGATGGTGGTACCTTAATTTTGATGAATAGTGAGCAAAACTGGGAGGAAATTCTTGGGTTCAAAAGAGTAAAGAAGCATGTAAAGCTTGGGATAAAAATTAGTACATAAAACTTATAAGACAAACTAACATTTAAGCAGCAATACTACTAAAGTCAAATCATGGCCTAAGGATCAAGATTATTTGATCCTAGAGATTATCCTCTAACATGAAATTTGACACCATAAACGCAAACACATAACTCACCATTGTATGACATATTTCTGACAGGTCCGCAATTGGTGAAGTTTCTGTACCATAACTACATATAAAAAATGTCAAACATGTTAACAAACCGACTTTGACACTGATATAAAATGAATTTCAATTTCTTCTCCCAAATGAATGCGGAAAAGATTTTGGTAGCAACCCTAGTCTGTTTTTTCTAAGTGCAGATGGAAGAGGGAGACGTCAAATTAAGTTAACATTTGTACATTTGTGAACTGCAATTCTAGGATATTGTTACAAACAATGGTAATAGGAATTATTAAGCGAAAAATTCTTCAATATAGACACATTGGTTCCCAGTTAAAACTGTACCACTATCAAATTGAGTAATGCTTTTCCTCCAACACTTTTGTCTAAACTTTTTACCACTTTTTACCCCACTTAGGTGGCAAAAATTTACTTGACAAATTCAAGGATGAAACATACCAATTCATAGGTAGGTCAACCATTCATAGATGCATGTTTAAAGTTGAACCCATAGACTTTTGCAACATCAGGTGGGACAAATAGTTAGGACAAAAGTGTTGGAACAAATAATATTTTCCTATCAAATCATATGAATCAAATGAAAAATTTTCAACAGTTAAATGGTGTTGCATACCACATCTGCTATAATTGATATTATACTGGCCCCATATTCATGCAAGGTCTCTTTACCTACTGCTAATTTATTCTAAATAAGAAGCTTTAAAATAATATAATAACTAGGTTCTGACTCTTCAAGCAATAGCTCCCTAAATCATATGAATCAAATGAAGATTTGTCAACAGTTAAATGGTGTTGCGTACCACATCTGCTCTATTTGATATTATACTGGCCTCATATGCATGCGAGGTCTCTTTACCTACAGCTAATTTATTCTAAATAAGGTGCTTTAAAATAGTATAGTAATTAGATTCTGACTCTTCAAGCAATAGCTCCCTAATTTCTTTGATATGGGGGCACATGTATCGTCGTTTTCCTGTTGTTAGGAGGTTGTTAATTGTTTTCTTCTGGTGGTAGGTGTTAAAAGGATCCCCCATCATTGCTATTCTAAGTTGGAGTTGGGCTTATATACATACAGATAGGGTAACTGTCCCAGCAATTGGTTCATCAACAGTAGCTGAGAAGGTCCAACCTAGATATAAAACCACTATAAACCTCAAAGGTAACTGATGTGTGCTATAACACCAATTGTTTCTTTGCCTTATATGTAGACTTGGAAAACAACCGACACTTTCGATCTCATCACTTAGACCATAAATACTGGGCAACAAACTACAAATAACCTAGTTTCTAATAACATGTCAAGGCATCCAACCTAAAACCAAATGGAAAAGATAGGGAAGCTAAACCTAGAATGACGCCACAAGAAGCTTCAAGCAAAGCCAATGAAGAATATAACACAACTAAACAACTTGGAATCTCACTAAATTTCAATTAAGTTAAAACACATGCACAAGTTCCCAATTGAAGTTAAAATATCTCAAAACTGGACCTCTTGAATACTTGTTTTAGTTAAATTGCTATCATTGTTACATTTTTCTTGCTCTTAATCTTGTCATCATTCATTATGTATACTGTAGCCAAAAAAGAATTTAAGATTCTATGAAGAGACTTCTTTTGGAACCAAAGGAAATGTTCCTCTCAAATGCTCTTATACAAAACAAGAATCATAACTAACAAAGCGATTCATTCACATACCAAACATCAAATGGTGTGTCAAACGATGTCCCATAAATGTTATAGAAAAAGATTCCACTTGGTAGTTTAGCACTGTTGATAAGTTTGCGTGTCCCAGCAGCCCAATTGAGAATACAAAAGTTGAAAGGTAGAGCTATTGCATTCCCATTATAATTTAACTGCAACAACACCAGCAAAAAAGTGCCAGCAATAGGCAAAATAAGAATTACAAATTAGTTTATAGAAGGTGCATAGAAGAATATGAAAGAATAACCACAAAATCCACAAAACTTTGGCAGCAACAAGACTAAAATTTAGAGCAAAGCACTTTGAACAGACAATGAGTAGCTTAACAGATCCAATAAGGAATTAACAATCATAACTAGAGTTGCAATCAAGAATTTTATTACTAAAGAAATTCATGAGAATTCTATTCATGAATTCTTAAGAAACTTTCTAGAGTACAAGAGGATATATATATATATAGCTAAAACATCAAATATGACAAATCCCATGACATCCTAGAGATAATAACAAATCACCTAAAAATCCTCTAACAATAAATGGTAACTACCAAGTATTCTTAAGATATTTTCTAGAGTACAAAAGGATATATATAGCTACAACATCGAATCTGGCAAATCCTATGATATCTTAGAGATAATAACAAATTACCAAAAAATCCTCTAACAATAAATGAAAACTACCAAGTAAGAATTTGGTCAATGAACCAAATCCCTTTTATTTAGGAAACAACCAAAATACTAAATGAATGACAGCTAATCAAATCTGGTTAGGAATCGATTTTCCACACTCCCCCTGAAGTTGGGTGGTAGATATCAATCATACCCAACATAGACTTCAAATTCTCAAAATTGCTACAATGAAAAGCCTTGGTAAGGATGTCGGCTGTCTGATGTTCTATTGAAGTGTAGACCAATTTGATTGCAACTTCTTCAATCTTCTCTTTGATGAAGTGGCAATCAATCTCTATGAGCTTAAAATCTGTTCACACTTCCGTCTGTATTGTGTTTGATAATAAAAATCTACTTACATCCCATTAGGCTTTTTCCTCTAGGAAGATTAGTAACTTTCCATGTGCCATTCTTTGCTAGTGCTTGCATTTCCTCCATTACCACAGCCTTCCACTTTGGATGTTCGAGCGCTTCTTGGGTGATATTCGGTATATGAACATCAATTAATGATGTAACCAGTGCTTGGTAAATAGGAAACAACCCTTCATAGGAAACAAAGTTACTAATAGGGGGTTGACTACATGCTCTCACACCTTTTCTTATAGTAATGGGCTAATCAAGACCACTAGGAAAATCATCAAAGATAGGTTCAGTAATTATGTTACTTGTATGAATTTCAAAAGTCCCTGGATTTGGTTCAGAATCTTGGTTCTATGTTGGAGATGTACAGGTCCCTATCTCCTTTTGAAATTTTGGTTTCCTTAAGTATACAATCATTTCCTTAGCTTTTGTCTCTTGCACAGTTTCAGGAGATTTTCAAGACTCAAAATGACTAGTTGACTCAGAAAAAGAAGAAGAATTATTTGAAATGGGAATTTGAATTGGCAGAGAAGTAGAGGAAGGATCAGATGATGGCTCAATCTCCCAAAGTTGATATTCCCTAAAACTCTCCCCTTTGAATATGGGCTTTGGGATAGAATCATTGATTCTCAAAGAAGGTGACATCCATAAAAATGAAACTTTCCGGTAGATGGTGAATAACATCTGTAGCCTTTTTGGTTAGGGGAGTTGCCAAAAAATATACACTTGAGTGATCTAGGATCTAGTTTACTACGTTGTCGGTGTATATAAACAGAAGTAGTACATCCGAACACTTTGACTGGTATGGGGGAAATGATTTGGACATGAAGGAAGGTTTTGAGAAGTGTTTGACAAGGGGTTTGGAATTTTAGTATCATATAAGGCATCCTATTGATAAGAAAAGGGTTCTGTTAGGATTGCCTCTCCCCAGAAATGTTTCGAGACATGAGAGGCTAGCATGATAGATCTTGCAACTTCCATCAAATGTCTGTTATTCCGCTCGACAACTCCATTTTGTTGAGGAGTTTCAATACATGAGCTCTGATGAATAATTCTTTGATCTAACAAATAAGATCCAAGAACTAAGTAATAGTATTCTCGCCCATTATCTATTCTGAGCATCTAAATTTTTGCTTGAAATTGAGTTTGCACCATCTTGTTGAAATTTTGAAATTTTGAAATATTGAACTAACGTATAACTTTTCTTTCATTAGGACTAGCCATGTAACTCTAATGTGATCATCGATGAAGATAACTGAAGAAATCTTTAGAATAAAACTATTTTATTCTTCTATATTTTTCTTCTTACAATACTAAAATTACATGAAAATATATAGACTAAAAACTAAATATTCTCAGCCTTAACCCCAAGATTTTCATGCATTAAAATAGCTAATCAAAGGATAAATTTACACTCTACACATAATAGGAAAATATCTAATAGATTTGGTGTAATTACACAAAATACTCCTTATTCTAAAAATAAAAGACTTAAATAAAATAGATAAAGTCAGCTAATCAAATAATAATGAAGATTAGATTTCCACACTCCCCCTCAAGCTGGGTGGTAGAGGTAAATCATGCCCAGCATGGACTTTAAATTCTCGAAGTTGTTTCGAGAGATAGCTTTAGTGAGTATGTTTGCAGTTTGGACGCATGTGGGAGCATAAACTAATCTAACAATTCCTTCCTCTATCTTTTCTTTGATGAAGTAACAATCAATCGCCACATGTTTAGTCCTATCATGATGAACAGGATTCTTTGCTATACTTATGGTAGCTTTGTTGTCGCAAAATATCTTTATGGATTCTTCGACGGAGAACTTTAACTCCCCTAGCAACCTGTTAGCTCAAAGATTTGGAATAAACCAATAGAAGGGTGAATTGGTTTTAATAAATTTTTGAGCTAACAATTAAACACAATAATTGAAAGTAAATGAGAGATAAGGATAGAGAATATAACACCGAGATTTATAGAGGTTCGGTTCTCTCTTAGGCACCTACGTCCTCTCCTTAGCCTCCTCTATTGCCAAGAAGTTCAATCCACTATAAGTGTTGAAGATTACAACCAAGCTTCTCTAAGCTTTACAAACTCAACACAATATACTCGTAAGGGTTATCCTGCCCTTTAAGCTCACAAATTCACAATGCAGAGATATGAAGTGTTTTGCAAACTCTAAGAACCTCTCAAAGGTTGGGTGTTTGCTAATTTGAAGTACATAGTGGTATAGACAACAAAATAGAGAAAAACTTATATGAATTCTGCACTTTTCTAACTTGGAACAACTTTGAATGCTTAAGTAAATTGGTAGGTGAATGGCAATAAGTTTCCTTGGCTCTTGTTACACTTGGTCTACAGTGGAATGCTTGATTTATAGTGAAAAAGCAATTGAGAGCCGTTGGATTGCATTTAATGCTACAAACCTGCAAAAATTCAAACAAAAAAATAGCCTTTGGGAGTTTTTAGCCTTCAGGGGATTGATCCTTTGTCATAAGGGATCGATTGGTTCATATTGGAGAAGGCTCGATTTTGTGCCTGATTTGCCTTACCTGATCGATACCTTTAAGAGGGGATCAATCCCTTTTCTGGGGTTTTGAACTGGGGAACATTCTGTCTGAGCAACCGATCGATCCTTTTTAAAAGGGGATCGATCCCTTTTCTGGGTTTTTGAACTTGGGAAACATTTTGTCTGAGCAACCGATCGATCCCTTTAAGAGGGGATTGATCCCTTGCCTTAGGTGATTGATCCTCTATGTGATGGGATCAATCTGTTTTCTAAAAAATTGCACGATACAAACGTTCTGTATGAAAAAGTGATCGATCCCTTGAATGAGGGGATCGATCCGTTCAGCTTGAAACCCATACCAATCAATCCCTACAGGGAGATCGATCGGTTTTTGCCAAAATCTTGAGAAGTTTCGATTCTGGTTGAAAACAAGATCGATCTCTTTTGTTAGGGGATCGATCCCTTCTATCAAAACTTGCATAAATCATGTTTTGTTCTGAGAATTTGAGTTGTTTTGGTTCTCAAATGAGTTTTAGCAAGATAGAAGGGTGAAAAAATGTTCAATTTAAGCTTAGACAAGATTGAAACAAGTTTGGCAAATTTTTATTTTGTCAAATCAAAACTCTTAATCCATTCAAGGCCAAAACAACCTTTTTGGCCAAATTCCCTCACATATGCCATGAGACATAGCTCTAAACTCAGCTTCCACGCTACTTCTAACCACCACAGATTGCTTCTTACTTTGCCAAGTAACCAAATTTCCTCGCACATAGGTACAATAACCAGTTGTTGATCTTCGATCAGTAACAGATCCAGCCCAATCAGCATCAGTGTAAATTTCAACATTTTGGCGTGATGTCTTCTTAAAAAATAACCCTTTGCCAGCACTCTTCTTTAGGTACTGTAAGATTCGATACACAACCCTCAAGGGTTCCTCAGTTGGGTTGTTCATGAATCTACTTACCATGCTAACCGAAAAATCAATATTTGATCTTGTATGAGAGAGGTAGATGAGTTTTCGAACAAGTCTTTGATATCTACCCTTGTCTGTTGGTGGACTTCCTTCTTCCATTCCTACCTTGTTCATTGTGTCCATAGGGGTGTTAGCAAATTTGCATCCAAGCATTCCAATTTCCTTCAGTAAATCTAGGACATATACTGTGAAACAGAGATGCCATTCTTTGAGCGAGCTACCTCCATGCCAAGAAAATATTTAAGTTGTCCCGTATCTTTGATTTCAAATTCTTTGGCTAAAAAGTTCTTTAGATTGCTAATTTCTTCCACATAATCTCTAGTAAGAATAATATTATCCACATAAACAATAAGAATGGCTATTTTTATTTTAGGTGAATATTTGACAAATATGGGGTGATTGGTCTAGCATTGTGAAAAACCATACTTCTTTACCACTTTTGTTAGTCTTCTCATAGTCAACACCATATGATTGAGTAAATTCTTTTGCAACAAGGCGAGCTTTAAATCTATTAATACTTCTATCTGCATTGTGCTTGACAATAAAGATCCATTTGCACCTAACTAGATTTTTCCCTTTGCGTAATTATGAAATCTCCCATGTTTTGTTCTTTCCTAAGGCCTTGATTTCTTCCAAATCAGCCCT